GTGTGTGTACGTTTGCTGAAGAAATAACGTGCTCCTTTACCTGGCTTTTTGTCCGCTCCACTCTCGCGTTTGTCAGCTTCTCACGGGATCGGGTTTCCAAAGCACGTCAATAATCAAGAGCACACTATTATTATCAGCTCAAGAACTTTATTTCAGATATAGACGTGCAGCGAGCGAAAGGAAGAAAGCGAAACCGCTCGCGCGTCAGACTGGCTCGTAAAAAAACTGCGAGGCACAGGGTAGATTCTGCTCTACTCCATGGCTGTGTGGATGTTCATCAGGACGGTGATATATGAATATATAATTCCGCTGTAATCTCTCGCTGTGTATTTCAAACATGGCGGGTCCTTTGTTTACCTTCTGGCTTGTTGTAAGTGAATGACGTATCTCTTCTGTAAACCAATAGCGTTCAGCTGCGCGTCTAGCTCAGCCTTTTGGTACCCTTTCTTGTGTTTGGGACCCTTTCGAAAGGGTGCCGAAAAAGTGGTACGGTTTGGTTCGGTACGCCTTTTGACAGTGGAAACGGCCATAAAAGCGTACCAAACCGAACCGTACCGTATCACTCAGTGGAAACGGGCCATTAGATGTGTGTGCTCTGCTCGTCTCAGTGTGCGAATGAAACCGAATGCTGACAGCATGCTTCTGACTCTGCGCGCGCCGCACACACACATAAGCACACAGACTTTTGCACTTTTAAGAGCAACAAATGTGTTCAACTGGAAAGGGGCGGTAAATGATGCAATAATCGTTTATCTCGATTAATGCATTTTCATAATCGTTAGAAGCCAAAATCGAATTTTCAATTAATTGCACAGCCCTAATTTGATTTATCAAAGTCACACAAGTGGAAATTTCCCATCCGTCACATCTAAAACCAAGCTTTCCCCTCATAAATGTAGAAAATGTCCAATAAACTCAGTAATGTTGGTTCAGTAGAGAGCCGACTCTTGTTCATTAGATTAGCTTTATTTCTGTTTGGTTGTGCAGTTTAATTCAAGAATGTTGTGTTCTGTAAACTCGCAGACTGTTTAGGTCACCGCATCCATAACGCCTGTTTATTTCCCTCATTTAAAATCTACAAGATGTTCACAGATTGATCTTTTCCTGACCCCATAACTCTGTGCTTAGCTGTTTTGGGAAATATAAACAGATGTTTGTTTCAGTATAATGTTAACTTATACTTTCTCTGTGTCTTTATGTGTTGAGTTTTTACTGCAAATGTCATGTCCATAACACCACATACAGTAGGGCTGTGTATTGGCAAGGGCCTCACGATACGATACATATTACGATGCATGGGTCACAATACAAATGTTGCGATACAATAAATATTGTGATATATTGCAATAGTTTGTATTGGTATGTGTTAGGGGTGTAACGATTTATCGTTGTACGATTTATTGCAATGCAAAAATGTCTATGAATCGTGGCGTTATGACGATTTTATTACGATATGACGTCCGTTTTCTCTTATTAGTTGAGCTGTCTGCACGTGAGCTACGTTCCACCTGCTGTCGCACGTGAGTTCAGATTGCAGCAGCAGTAATGTTAGCAGACCAAGATGAGTGGAGCTGAAATAGAGGATGACCCATCCTCTCAAAATCAGACGTCTGGCAACATTTCGGTTGTACAGTCATTGCTTTAGACTCGTCCGCTTTTTGACACGCATACTGGGTCAAACATCCTAAGTTTCAAAGTCTTCACAGTGATTTACATACTTTGCACAGCGACATGGATACCTCCTAATGGTGTTGAAAGAGTCACATACTGTATTTATAAGGTACAATTCACCCTAAAATATCATTCTGTCTTCATATAATGATGTATTGGCGGCCGCAAAATCACACATGACGTGAGCTGACCGTCAGCTGTTACTACAGAGGGCAGATGATAGAGGCGCGCGTATGGCAAGCCGTTTTAGCATTTAAACCTTTGATCTGACTATCCATAAATACATTTAGAGATATCTTTAATTATATTTTGACTAGTCATAATTATAATTCGACTAGTCAAAATATAATTAGAGATATCTCTAAATGAATTTAATTAAATATGAATTAAATATATTTATGGATAGTCAGAACAAAGGTTTAAATGCTAAAACGGCTTGCCATACGCGCGCGTCTGCTTCAGTGAACAGAACCTGCAGGTTGTGACTAATAAAGTAGTAAACAACATTCAGTTTGTGGAACAGAGTGATCTTTCAGGAGCCCGCGTGGGAAGTATGAACAGCACTTAGCAGTGGAAATGAAACCGAAAGCGTACACATTATTTAAACAATCATATCACATTTTAGAGTTATGATTACGACGAGCATTAACCCTTTTGAGTACAGAGGTACACAAAAATGCACGTCAACATGATACACTTGATAGCGCCGACATCAGCGACGCCGAGGAAATAGTAAACCTGCCTAAACTGCTGAAAAGAGCCACGACTGTCCTGTGTAAGTTAATGAAAAGACGGCCCCCCTGTCACTTATCATGTCCAACATGAAGACAGCCATCCATAAAAACCTCTCAGACAGATACACATAAGTTCAGGATTATCTTATAAAACTGTTGATTACCTGAAAATGTGGATTTTGTTTTGCACACACAAAAAACGCAAGTGACCAAGCAAAGCCTTAAGCTCTTACTGTTAAATTCAATTGAATAGAAAGTGTTTTTTTGCACCTTTACTTAAATTGTTCCTTAATTTTGTCTCTGTCATTTCAATAATATTTTTTAAGAAGTTTTTAAATTGTTTTATTTTACATAAACAGGCCTGTTTAATTTATTTTCTAAAAGAAGGTTCAGTTTAACAAGTTGAAACAAAAGAAATGCATGAAAAATAGTTTACTTGGTAAAATTTGCATTTCAGTTAAATTTTCAATTTTTATTCCAAATATCGTGATACACATCGACTCGTGAACATTATATCGTGATACACATCGTATCGTGAGCTGAGTGTATCGTTACACCCCTAGTATGTGTGTCATGTTGTATTGACAACTTGATAAAATCAGCAAACAAATAAAAATTCCAATACCAATTTATTTTCTATCCATTTCAATTCATCAGAACTGCACGATGTTATTGAACAGAAAACTCACTAAAATGTATTAAATGCATATTGTTATTAAACACTGGACTAAAACGAATACGCCACTAAAGTCACGTATAAATAAAATAAACAATTTATAAAACTAAAGCAAGTAAAATAATTTTAATTTCCTCAAGTGAACATAAAACTGGAACACAGTGCTCTAGTATGTGGTAAACTATTAGAAACTGACAGTGCGACTGACGGCATCGTTGTAGCGTCCTGGTTAAAAGATGACTAAGTCTTCCACTGATGTTCACGATTCATTTATTGGTCACACTTCATACAATTTGTTTGCATTATTCAATCATGAATCACCGTAAGAGCTAGAGAGAAAATAAACAAACACAAATAAATCCCGAAAATTAACACTAAGCCAACATCAACAATTAAACAAATAAACCAAATTACCTTATTTTTCCATCAAACCAGGAGCTATAACTCATGAAGGAGGAATCCGTGAAGCAACCGTATACCCGTGCCCCTTTTACCGTGTTTCACCTAGCGTTCCATACTTTTTCATTCATTTCTACACGCAATTTATACATCCGGTAAGCTCCGCAATTTTGACGTCATAATTAAACTTAATTCATTCAACAAATCAACCCGTATATAAAATACAACACAATTAAAAAAAATTAATAAATTCAAAATCAAACAAAGTAACGCATTATTTCAAGTTTCTTTACAATCGTAAACATTGTGCTGTGAAAACTGGTCGCACACAGGTAAATTGATGACAAGTGCGAAACATTTTACATGCAACAAGCCGGCCAGCTGTGCTACCATGGTCATGTTTGACGTGTTGTTATAACGACAGGTCCTTCCATTTGATGTCCCATTCCTCCTATGCAGTTTTCAGTCTGCAATGTTAGTTGAGGTAGACGGAAGCTTGTTGATGATGTTATCCAGTGTAGTCTGCCTTGAATCAAGAGGTTTCGGTTGAGGTCGCAGTGCCGCTAATTCATCTGCGTGGTGTCTTGTTAAGTGATAACGCAAGTTCGTAGTGTTTCCCGAATATTATGGCATTTAATATGGCATTTTTTGTCTAATTCAGTCCTCTGGTGTAGTGTTAAAGCCAAAGTGCAGCCACACGTCAGCTCTAAAAGCTGGAGACGCCTTTATATTTTCCACCATGCTCACTCTTGCTTACTTCTGATACCATACTACTTAGCATTTTGTTGATAGCGAGTTAGCGACATCTACTGGAGCAGAGAAGGAGGTTTTTGGCACAACTTGAATCGATACTTCAGGTTGAACTATCAATACACTATTGTGAAAAATTATCGCGATAGTTAGATATATCGATATTATTGCACAGCCCTAATATACAGTACATATGAAGCAGTTACATATAAAGCAACACAATACAGATATCAATAAAGTACACATATAAAGACACCAACATACTTGACACAAACAACACTAATTGTATTTCTCTGACCGTGAGCAATGCTGTACTTTGTCAGTTGTAGGCTGCTAGCATGATTTGGCTAATCAGAATGTGCAAATAAAACTTTTCTGAAATGATATTATTAAGAAGAGCGTCTGAAAGTGCCAATATAAAAGCAACTTTACCCCAACACAAGCTCACACAGGTGCTAACTGCTAGCTAAACTCATGGAGTGTGATTATGTGCAGCACATGAAAGCTGTGGTTTCTGTATAAATGTAGACTGATGTTTGGATCCTGGACACATTCATTAGTCTGCAGAAGCGCTTTAAGTGCTCATGCTCATCTCTATAATGTAGATGTGGAATGTGCTCATCTCTTGTGTTGTCTATTGGTTTATTAGACATCAATAGGCCGCTGGCTTTGTTTTGCACACGCTACACTACATTAGTCTTGGCAGATCTGTTTCTCTGTTAGTGAAGCTCCTCCTCCTTCATTTCAGCTATAAATACTGGAATATTCCCATCAGTCTACAAGTGAGGACGAGCATCAGACCTTCAGACAGAAGTCAAATCTGAGTTTATTGAAGGACAGTGGGAAGATGAGTGATCCAGAACCCTGCAGAATTACAGATGAAGACACTGAAGAACAAACAGGTTTGTGTTTATTCCTGATTCAGAAAAAGCTTTGAACACTTCATCTGATGTATCGTCTGCACTATAGGCAAAAGAGTTCAAGAGTTTCAATAAAAGGAGAAGTGTAAATTCACTTTCTATTCTCAGGGGGAAACCGAGATGGACACTCAGCTGTCTTTTATTTTCATCTTTATTACACATTTATGATCATAAGGCCGAAGTAAATTTGATCTGAGCTCATTTATTTGACATCTATAAGTTTGTTTAAATGGGACATGTAAAAGTGCTGGATCTTCATTTATGCTGCAGACCTACAAAAGAAATGTCTACAAATGGAGTCTTTTCACTTCACATTTTGCTCTGATTGTTGATGACTGACGACCCCAAATCAGATCAAGTGGGACAGTATGGGGAACACAGATAAAGAGAGAAAGAAGCCGTTTCTACATTTACTTTGACTTGTGTTTCATTGCAGACAATACAGCAAACATGATTTAATCTGTTCCTCATCATTTTACTGCTTTATTTTAAATAATCGCGTATATCAATGCTGCTTCCTGCAACACATTTCAACAAAGTTGTATCAGTGCTGCATTTACCACTTAGTAATGTTGCTGATTCTTTACACAACACTTAAAAGACGTTTAGGGACTGAAGACACCAAATGTGGGGGTTTTGCACTTCAAAATGCGCCACACATTCTCTATTAGAGACAGGTCGGGACTGCAGGCAGGCCAGTCAAGTACCTGTATCCTCTTCCTTCACATCAGGACTCAGTAATGTGTGCAGAATGTGGTTTTGCGTTGTCTTGTTGAAATATTCATAGGCCTCCCTGAAAAGAAGGCAGTAGGCTTGGGCAGTATCCAAATTTTAATACCGTCAAACCTCCCTATTTTACCCTGGTATCCGTTATTACCATGCATAATTAAAAAAAATTATGATGTAAAGCTCAGACAGCATCATCAAACTGTTGTCTTGTGTCTAAACCATTCAGAAACTGAGTACTGTATAGACCTTTTTCATGGCTGCTGCATGGAGGGCGCCATAGCGACCAGCGTCTTCCGGTAGAATGCTAAAAACTTCCATTTACAGCGTGTACAAGTTGTAATTTGCGCTCCAAAAATGGGTTTTAATAACGTTTTTAATAGATTACAGAGTGTTTTTGTGACACACAGCTTAGAAATGTGTCTGCTAAAGCCGTTATAATCTGTCACATGTGGTTTAAGCGCGTCAGAAATACGAGAAAAACGTTCTCCTAGTTCACGTGTCTGCCGTCAGAAATACAGCTCAGCGGCTCTTCAACACGCACACAGAGGGCTAACCATTGATACTCAAACCATTGATACTCAATAACGCATACGCATTTGTAGGCATTAAATAATCCTTATTACTAAATACTTGTCTCTGATTAAGATGCATTGTTTTTTATGGTGGTATAACAGTATTGAAGCTGACACCGTTGCTATTTTAGATCCCGCAGTATACCGTATTACCCCCCAGCATAGAAGGCAGCATATTGTGCTCCAAAATCTCTCTGCTTTTCAGCATTATCGCTGCATCACAGAAGTTTTTTTTGCAATTAACGTATATGACTGCGCTCTCGTGTTAATATAAAGCTCTCGCAACATTTGCAGGAATGAGTAAATGTGCAATACCAGCATTCCCACGCTGGCATTCAGACTGTATTTAGAGAGACTGACAGATCAGAGGAGAGTCAGACTTGATGTCAGAGAGAAGAGAGCGAGACGTGTCGGTGTGATAGTCGAAATGCCAGGAAGAATGTCCGTGGTTTATTTACTCTTGTTCATAACTGACATCTCTATAGTGAAAACATCTGAAAAGTATTATTCCAATAAAACATTTGTTTTCATTTCTTTTTCAGTCATCTGATCTGCCAGAATGCTAGCATTAGCATAATAGCGGGGAAATTTTACAATCCTCCCCTGCCGTCCAAAGCCACGCCTCCTTAAGTCCTGAACTCGTGAATGCCCTCTGATTAGATATAACACTAGATCATGTCATCCACCAGTCAGAAAACTCTATAGACACACACTTTATCAAGCGTAGTTGTGGACAGGCCAGCGGGTGCAGGATTATATTTCCCCAAAACTGTGTATCACAGACTGCCACTGTTCAACAATGAACAAATGTGCTGATATAAATCAATCTTCAGCTCAGTAAAGCTGGTCAGGTGGAAGAGCACATTTACTGAAGTTCTGTTATTAAACTAAATAAAGGTCAGAGCTGAACACGGAAATATCCTGTCCTCTGTTTACATTACACTTACATTACCAAGAACTTGAGCTAAACGAATGCTCAGGTCTATTTAACAGACTATATTATGGATGCTGTGAAAGCTACTCCATGATCTTGAACATAGCCAATCTTTCGCTAGATGTTTTCAGAACAACACTACTGTGCATATAAACCCATTCATACACAAACACAGTCTACATCAGCTTTGCGTGGCTAAACTAGTTTTAAAACAGACCTGTCTAAACGTAATACTTCAGCCGTGGTGTCCCCCTTCAGATCATTGTTTTGATCTGCATAACGTCATTTCCCTCCAGCGTGTAAAAGTAACTCCGATATTGATTCAGGGTTTAGAAATGTTCTGGGGCCTCATGTACGAAGACTTGCGTGGAAATCATACTAAAACATTGCGTACGCAGAAAAAAATTCAGATGTATGAAACACTGCGTACGCCGAATCTCACGCATATTCTTTTGTACATCTGAATGAACGTGAAACTGAGCGCAACATGCACGAGCACAAAACCCCTCCCTGCCTCCTCCCCCGTATGAATATGCAAATGATGCTACTTTTGCAAAACCCATTGAAAAAGCAATGGCAAAAGCAAGCAAATAAAAAAACTTTGAACAGAATGTGAATTGTAGGTGCTCCTTTTGGAGGTAGACCGGAGAAAAGCGGTGTTATTTGCAAGTTTGTTCTCCGCAATTAACAACAAAAGAAAAAAATAGAGTGGGATTAGTGAATTAGAAAAGAAATAGTATGATTTATAGTAAAATAAATCAGTAAAGTATAGTAAAATGTTGCAGTAGCCCTAAATAGTCTCAGTGGCGCAGCTCGTAAGACGCATGTCAACATGTTTTGACACGTTCGAGCATGAACTCGGTTCAAATCCAGCGTCTGATGAACTCTTTCTTCTTTTTTCCCCCGCTACATATCAGATTTTGCCAACTATTTATCACGAGAAAGACAAGTAGGAATCATTAATAAGTCTGTGCATCATATTTTATTTGCACATTTATTGAATGGAAATGTTTCTGATTCACGAATGCAAATTCATCTTCAGATAGTGTCTCTATAGCAATGTGCATGCGGTAGATCGCTCAGATTACATTGGGAAAACAGGCGACCGCTGCAAATTGTGCTTTAATGTTTAGCTGGTCAACTGTATGGTATGGAAACCTTATATATTTGCTATATGAACCCGTCTCATACAGCTGCCATTGCAAGGCTCAGACACTTTGTAGAGAGGAATTTAACACAACTGCCTCTAGGAGTCGCCAATGGAAATAAAACAGACACGCACAAAAAATGTGCGTACGCCTGCCATAAAGCTGCCGTGGAACTGCGCACATTCCCACGTTCAGTTCATCATTAGTAAATCCAAACGTGAGTGATTCTGAGCGTGAAACCTGGCGTACGCAAAGTTTTTGTGCGTACGCAGCGTCGATACATGAGGCCCCAGATGCTGCATTTTTGGCAGAAACAAATCTTACTTTTCATGCATACAAGACTACACTGGCCTTTCAGAAAGAAGTTCAGGATGAAGCAGAGTTTGCCTGACGTCTCTCTGTCAGCGGTGGACAGTGGTGGAAAGAGTACTGAAAGAGCATACTTAAGTAAAAGTAGCATTACTTGCCTAAAAATGCAGTGTGAGTAGAGGAAAAAGTACCTGTTGTAAATATTACTCAAAGTAGGAGTAAAAAGTAGCCCTTTTAAAAGTACTCCTGAGTAGTGAGTATTGCGCTGTTAAAAGCTGATGCATTTACATGTAATTTGTGGATGTGTGTGTAAACGTAACATTCTGTAGTGCATTTAGTCATTGCCCAGCAGACACACAATGTCTTAAAGGGTCATGAAACACCAGAACACATGTGTTGAGCTGTTGACAGTGGTATATGTGTCCCACACTGCTAAAAACACTATTAGGACACCTATATTTCACTAAAAAGTGTAAATTGGTTGTTTTTGAGTTATTTCAAGCAAATTTGTACTTCCTGTTTGAAACGAATTTTTGAAGCTGCGTCACGGTCATGACATAATAGCGTGTATTCCAGCGTGCAGACTGGGCGTCTGTACCAGAGTGTGTCTTATTACGTCTTACAGTGTGCTGCATTAATGCATGAGTAAAGCTTGGTTCAAACCAATCAGCGCGCTCTATTGTGCAACTTCATTAATATTCATTAGTGTCACTGTTTACACCAGAGACGCCACTTTTATAGTTTGCTGCCATTAAGTTTCGTTTTCCTTTTCTCTCTGTGAGAGCTCAGACTCACGTGTGGATTAACAGTGTACGCGACGCTCGACAACAATAACTTACATGTCTAAGGAGGATTATTGTTTACCTGAGAGCTGTTCTCATCTGCAAACACTGAAATCCGGATTTGCTCAAGTGGTGCTTGTAGTCTCCTCTTAATAAAGACGCGGCTCTAGTTGCTGGTGATTGTCCTGTCTCTACAGATTTGGTAAGTGAGCGACCAGTGCTCTTTGTTTATTCAGTTTGTTCGTATCGAATTAAGTTACTATTGCACTGAGTGCAAACTTGTTAGCACCGCATTTTGTGACCGGAATAACACACGCGGCTTTCTGACACTACCTGCCGTGTGTATCTAAGTTTCCGGGAATTGCGGAGCTTTTTTTTCTCTCATTCGCCGTGCGGTATCAAACATTGCATGAAAAATACACGCTTAGAGCAGCTCCTCGGATCAAATATCGCGTTTGTCGTGAGGGGCATGAATGAATTCCCTGAATGAAAGAGCCAAACTGCAGTTAAAGTCCACCATTTAATAATCTGGCAAATAATTCAACTACAGATGTCCATGTAGGTTAAACACAATGACTGTAAAAAATACACCATCACTTTCTCGTGTGTCTATTTTGACTGAAACTCGCGCGCGCCCAAATAGACACTCCCACACCCTCCCACTTTAGTTCCTCCGACACTCCCCCCTAAACAGAGCTGGACACGCCCACTTTTCTGACTTTTTCCAAAGTAGAGGTGTGAAAACACCCTGCTGAAACGAGGGGCTTTCATGGCCCTTTAAGATGTTAATATTAGATTTAGTTTCTGATGTCAGGTAACCAAAGTTCAATGTCTAGCCAGCGTCTAAAGACAACATTATTTTAATGTCCAATACTGACATCAAATGACGTTGATATTTGGTTGATTTTAGGTTGTTAGAAAGTGACCAAAATCCAATGTCCAGTCAACATCTTAAACCAACATCCTATTGAAGTCAAATACTGAAATTTATTCAGCAGTTATAGCAACCAAAAATCAACATCTGATAGACGCCATAGGGGAAACGTCGACACAACATCAAGCTGATATTTGGTTGGTTTTAGGTTGGGCATTGTACATTGACATCGGGCTGACGTTGAGTTCTGATGTAAACCCGGTTTTAATTTTCAAATAAATGCAGCATCTCCACGACGTCAGGGTACAATTTCAATCTGATGGCATGTTGACATGTTGTGCCTGCTGGGTGTTAAAGGCCATTTCGGTCATCATACAGTAAATATCCATTTGCTGTATTTCAAGGCTGCGCAGAAATACACATTTAAATGTGTTGACAGACAATGTGAGTTATCGTAATTGAGTTATTTGCGAGCTGACACACTGGATGAACATTTTTTAGTTTTATTGCTTATCCAGAATATGAGAATACATATGAACACATTCAGATCATTTACTTTAACTACTATCAGAATAGTACTTAGTACCATCTTACTTTAGTACTACTTTAGTACTATCGGAATGTGAAGAGACTTTCAGCCAGCACAACAACGCATGTTTCTGCAGACGATCACCTTCTGCACCTTGAACACAGAGCTTCCTTTTGGCACTGTACAGTTTTAACTGGCGTTTGTTGTTGTAACTATGTATTGTAGTTAGCGCTGTCAAAATTTACGCGTTAACGCATGCGATTAATTTAAAATAATTAATGCAGTAAAAAAAAAAACGCAATTAACGCGTTTTGTTTTTTTTTTTTCTGTTGTGGCCAGGGCAGACGCCCGCAAGTTTCCCGCTGTTTCGACGTACTTTTTGGGCCGGGCTGATCCTCTTCTTATGATCTGATCGGCCCATAAAACACTCAGCAGACTCTGTGTTTTTCTGCCTCAGTGGTTGACGGTGCTGTGAGCTGTCTGTCACCCTCTGAAAGTGAGATGTTTCTTTTCCGGACAGAGCCGGGTGACATAATCTGCAGCCCATTGGTTCTTTTCTTTATTGACATTGGGCTGACCCAATCACAATCTTCCATGTTGGGCTCTGTGTAACGTAGTTGTGTATTTGTCAAAATAGAGAGTCACGCCTGTTTCTCACGCGCAGGTCCGCCCCGCAGGAGAGCAGGCTTTTGCGTCTGAACTCTGCAGTGGGGCACAGATCAATATATTCCTGTCTATTCTATCTAGTTACCTATCTGTCCATATACATATACTTTTTAAACTTTTAATCTGCACCACAGCCGCGGCAAATTCCTCCTATAATGCTGTTTCCTTAACCTGCAAGTCTTTATTTTACAAATGATAGAGAATGTCTGATTCTCACGATCCATGAGGGGTCATTCATGCATTTTAAGATGCACTCGGTCAGAAGACAAGCGCAGGAGATATCATGACATTGTGTTTTTGATCGTCAACATGATGTAGGCTTATAGTGACAATAATATTTATACAATATGGATATTATAATGAGATTTATACATGATCAAACTAGTGTGCAACTTCAGCAACTTTATTTACATTTAGTTTTGTAGTTCTGCCGAAACAAATATTTGTGTCATTTTTTAATTGTTTAAGTTTATTTGATGGACAATGTAAAAGCTGTTAGCTACGTTTGATGTTTCATTGTTGAGTTAAACATGTTTTTAAGGGTCTCTGACACATTTCTTTTATTATTCACTTTATTTTATTAATCAACATTAACTGTGTGCGTCAGCAGGCAGTTTTTGTTATGTTCATTATTTTCTAGGCTCCCTCAAAACACACAGGTACACACATTTCCAGTGTGGATTATAATTTTATTTTAATAATAAATAAAAAAAGTGTAGTTTTTTAATTTGTCAACTCTCGTTATTTCCTATATATGGCTTTTGTGCTTTTATAGAATGGGAGTTAGTAAACATATTCAAGGGTGTGCACAGATTTTCAATACTGTATTATTATTATTATTATAGTTTTCCATATCTGCAATTCCTGTATTTTGGCATTTTTTGCAGTCCTCTTAGAATCCAACATGGAGATCAATGTTTTCTTTATTGGTATTGATTGTTTTGAAATTGAAATGTCATTAACATGCCTGTGTTTTTATTTCTGTAATAAATATGACTGTCAAGCAGGATCTTGATGGTTTATTGTGGGTTTGTTGTTTACATGAAGAAATCTGTGTTACAAGTTAAACAAAAATTCTTGTAATGAATTATATTTTGAATTTAAATAGTATTTGTCTTGCGTTTACATTAATTTTACACTCGAATAGACAAAATGTACAAGTTTCAGTCTTTTAAATGCGATTAATTGCGAATTAATTTTTTTTTTTAGAAGTGCGATTAATTAGTTAATTTTTTTTAATCGATTGACAGCACTAATTGTAGTACTTGACAAAGATTTTGCCAAGGTAGTCCTAAAACCACGTGATGATATCGCTGATAGAGAAATGAGGATTCTTGATGCAGCACTGCCTGTAGGATCTGAGATCACGATTGTTCAGCACGCAGCAGCAGCGCGTCAGAGCGAGGCGTGAGCGTCGCCGAAGCAGCAGTGCAGCGATAGTTTCGGCGCTGGGTCTATTTTTGACGCGCTGCTCACGCTCAATTAAAGTGATAGTGCATTGATAATGACCAAAACACATTGAATGACAGTAAAAAGTAGCAATTTTACCCAATAAATGCGTTAATAATGTCAAATGGTTTATATATAGTCATTCAAATGAACTTAAAACGAATAAAAACGGCAACAAACATTTATTTAGGCCCGAACTACAAAACCAAATGTAAAACAATTGTAGCATCAGTTTTGCTTAAGTTGCACACTACTGTTGTAGGAGAGGGGAAATAGAATATTTACGGGATTTGTAGTCCATAGCGAAGTGTATTGTGGGTAGTGTAGTTCGACACGCATGCTGGATTATGAAAGGAAGAAAGTTTTAATCGGCTTTGTTTTATGTTCACTCGAGTTATTCCTACCGGGAGCTGTTTGCACTGTGAATCTGACAACACGAAAATAAGTAAAAGAATGGCATGCATCGGTTACTTTTGTCCGTCTCATCCTCTGCACGAGCATGAATTAACGAGCTGTTATTCTGCCGCTAGACATCACTGAAGCGGAGAAAGCAACACTAGTTTGATCATGTATAAATATCATTATTACTATATTGTATAAATATGATTATAACTAGGTCTACAGCAAACTGATAATCAAATAACAAACGACATGATATCACAGGCGATTGTCCTCTGACTGTAGACACTTCTCATATAAGTTAGCTTGAGAAGCATACATCACTATTTGATCTATAAATTTGTAAAATAAAGATTTCCAGGTTAAAGAAACAGCATAGGAGGGGCCTTGGTGCAGATGAAAAGTTTAAGATAGAATAGACAGAGATAGGTTGATCTCTGCAGCAGCTGCCGAAGAGCTGCGCGCTGCAGACGCAGCTGGTGTGAAAGGCAAACGCCTGCGTGCTGCTACTGCTCGACATACGCGCTGCGCACGCTCTGCTCACGCGCCGCTGATGCTTGTGGTGTGAAACAGGCGTTAGGCTTGTGCTCTTGTCCTTTACGCACTAAAAGGTTCAAGGAATCTGGAGGAATTTCAGTGATGTGTTATGCACAGTTGAAGGTGAGATATCCAAATGTCAATGTCATGTACAAAACATGAAATATTTTGTGTTCCTATTGTCTGCAATGAAATACAATAAATTATTTGTGTTTTCTGTACTGTTCCAATGTTTTCTGATTTGGGGTTGCACTAAAAACTGAACCTCTTTACCTTGATTTTAGATCTTAGTGAAGAGAGTAAGGAGAGTGAAGATGATGAACTCCTAAAAGCTGAGAAAACACCTCATTTACAGACTGAAGATGCTTTAATGCAAAGAAACAAGAAATGTTTGACCTGCAGTCAGTGTGGGAAGAGTCTGGCAAGCAAAAACAGTATTAATCGACACATGATGATCCACACTGGAGAGAAACCATTCACATGCACTCAGTGTGGGACGAGTTTTAGACTATCATCATCTCTTACTCAACACATGATGATCCACACGGGAGAGAAACCCCACAGATGTGATCAATGCGGCAAAACATTTTTGAGGGCGTCAGGGCTGAAAGTCCATCTTAGAACTCATACAAAGGAGAAGCCTTATTCATGCTCTGAGTGTGGAAAGAGTTTTACAGATCGGTCAAGTGTAAGAAAACATCAGAGAATCCACACTGGTGTAAAAGAGTATATGTGCTTTGAGTGTGAGAAGACTTTTAGTACAGCTAGAGATTTGGAAGGGCACCAGAGGATTCACAATGGAGAGAAACCGTACACATGCACTCAGTGTGGGAAGAGTTACAGCATCTTAGCATCCCTTACTAGACACTTGATGATCCACACTGGAGAGAAACCATTCACATGCACTCAGTGTGGGAAGAGTTTCACCGACTCATCATCCCTTAAAAAACACTTGATGATCCACACTGGAGAGAAACCGTTTACATGCACTCAGTGTGGGATGAGTTTTACACGCTCATCATCCTTTAATAAACACTGGATGATCCACACTGGAGAGAAACCATTTGCATGTACTCAGTGTGGGAAAAGTTTCACAAACTCATCATCCCTTAATCAACACATGAAGATCCACACTGGAGAGAGAAAACACAGATGTGATCAATGCGGCAGAGCATTTTTAAAGGCTTCAGTGCTGAAAGTCCATCTCAGAACTCATACAAAGGAGAAGCCTTATTCATGCTCTGAGTGTGGAAAGAGATTTACAATTATGTCAAGTTTAAAGGTACATCAGAAGATCCACACTGGTGTAAAAGAGTATATGTGCTTTGAGTGTGAGAAGACTTTTATTACAGCTAAAGAATTGAAACTGCATGAGATGACTCACACTGGAGAGAAACCATTCACATGCAGTCAGTGTGGGAAGAGTTTCAGCCGATCATCATCCCTTAATGAACACAAGAGGATCCACACTGGAGAGAAACCATTCACATGCACTCACTGTGGGACGAGTTTCCACCGGTCATCATCCTTTAATGAACACATGAAGATTCACAAAGGAGAGAAAACCCACAGATGTGATCAATGCGGGAAAACATGTTTGAATGCGTCAGACCTGAAACGTCATCTGAGAACTCATACAAAGGAGAAGCCTTATTCATGCTCTGAGTGTGGAAAGAGTTTTACACAGCTGTCACATTTAAGACAACATCAGAAGATCCACACTGGTGTTAAAGAGTATGTGTGCTTTGAGTGTGAGAAGACCTTTATTACAGCTGCAAGATTGAATCGGCACCAGAAGATCCACACTAGAGAGAAATCGTACTCATGTGATCAGTGTCTGGAGAGTTTCACACACTCTGTGCAGCTTAATGAACACATGAAAATTCACACCGGAGAAAAGCAGCACACATGACATGAATGCAGAGGAGCATTCTCTTGTGTGTAATGCTGTGTTCACACCAGACGCGGAACGCACAGATAAATTGCTTTATTCGGCCGTAAATAGACTTGAGTTTACTCGCTTCATTCGCACATCAAATTCGCTATGTCATAATCATGGCCCCACAAGAGCAAGCCCCTGATTGGTTAATGCAGTGCGAATGTCCGCTTAAGTTCAGATTTTTGAACTCGAGCGTTTTGAGCGATTTGCGTGTATCACGCTGCAGGATGTCTATTCGCGTCTTTGCATTGACTTAACATGTAAATCACTCGCGCTTGACGCGCGTTCCGGGTCTGGTGTGAACACAGCATTAGGCTGTTTTGACATTTACATTTACATTTAGTCATGTAGCAGACGCTTTTATCCTAAGCGACTTACAAATGAGGACAAGGAAGCAATTTACACAACTAAGAGCAACAATGAAGAAGTGCTGTAGGCAAGTTTCAGGTCTGTAAAGTCTAAGAAGGAAAATATTAGTAGTATTAGTTTTTTTTTTTTGGGTAGAGTTAGTGTGATATTCAGAGAGGCAATTGCAGATTAGGAAGGGAAGTGGAGACTAAATAGTTGAGTTTTTAGTGGTTTCTTGAAGACAGCGAGTGACTCTGCCGTTCTGATGCAGTTAGGGAGTTCATTCCACCAACTGGGCAGATTGAATGCGAGAGTTCGCGAAAGTGATTTTTTCCCTCTTTGGGATGGAACCACGAGGCGACGTTCATTCACAGAACGCAAGTTTCTGGAGGGCGCATAGATCTGCAGAAGTGAGAGCAGATAAGAAGGAGCAAGGCCAGAAGTCACTTTGTAGGCAAACATCAGAGCTCTGAAATTGATGCGAGCAGCAACTGGCAGCCAGTGCAAACGGATGAGCAGCGGAGTGACATGTGCTCTTTTAGGTTCATTGAAGACCACTCGTGCTGCTGCATTCTGCAGCAGCTGAAAAGGCTTGATAGAGTTAGCTGGAAGCCCGGCTAGTAGAGAGTTGCAGTAATCCAGTTTGGAGAGAACAAGAGCTTGAACAAGGAGTTGAGCTGCATGTTCAGATAAGAAGGGTCGGATCTTTCTGATGTTATAGAGTGCGAATCTGCACGATCGAGCAGTTCTAGAGATGTGGTCAGAGAAGTTTAGTTGGTCATCAATCGTTACTCCAAGGCTTTTCACCATTTTGGATGCAGTAATGGTTTCCCCATACATCTGGATTGAAAAGTTATGGTGTAGAGTCGAGTTGGCAGAAACTACAAGCATTTCCGTTTTTGCGAGGTTCAGCTGAAGATGATGATCTTTCATCCAGTGTGAAATATCCAACAGGCAGGCTGAGATGCGAGCTGGAACCGAGGGATCATCAGGATGAAAAGAGAGGTATAGCTGGGTATCATCAGCATAGCAGTGGTAGGAGAATCCAGGTCTCTGGATGACTGGTCCTAGAGATGATGTGTAGATGGAGAAGAGAAGTGGCCCAAGAACAGAGCCTTGAGGTACCCCAGTGTTTAGATGCTGTAGGTTGGACACCTCTCCCCTCCAAGACACCCTGAATGACCTGTCAGTGAGGTAAGATCTGAACCATTGTATAACAGTGCCCGCAACGCCCAGTGACTCGAGCGTAGATAGCAGGATCTGGTGGTTGACAGTGTCAAAAGCAGCTGACAAGTCCAGCAAAATGAGGACTGATGATTTAGAGTCTGCTTTAGCCAGTCTGAGATCCTCCACGACCGAGAGCAGGGCAGTCTCAGTTGAGTGGCCTTTCTTAAAGCCGGATTGCTTGTTGTCCATGAGATTTTGAATCATGAGTGAAGGTGAAAACACCATAATCACACACAACATTAAAATATGAGCAGAAAAACTGATGTTGTTTGCTATTAGAGAAACTCTGAATTCAGTTTTGAACAATGTAACTCTAAACTCATTTCCATTCGGGATTCACGTTGATCATCTTTTAGTTCGTGACCTCGTTGTTTTTTTTATTTTATTTTCAATATTAAAACTTTTTTTACGTTTACATTAAATCGCATTCAATTCAATTCAGCTTTATTTGTATAGCGCTTTTACTATGTAGATTGTGTCAAAGCAGCTTCACATAAATGGTCATAGTAACTGGAACAGTGTGGTTCAGGTTTTAGTGTTTAAGTTCAGTTCAGTTCAGTTTAGCTCAGCTCAGTGTGATTTAATCATTACTGAGAGTTCAAACACTGAAGAGCAAATTCATCGATGCGTAGCTCTACCAATCCTGAACCATGCGAGCCAGTGGTGGAGAGGGAAAAAAACCTTCACCGATAGGAGAGTGAAGAAAAAAAACCTTGAGAGAACCAGACTCAGTTGGGCACGACCATTTTAATTTCTCCGCTGGCCAAAAGTCTTGTGCAGAGCTTCAGTCACAGTGGTGGAGGCTGGAAGATGGCCTCAGCAAAGACTCGTCTGTCCCTGGAGCGTCACTGGAATCAGACTCATGTTCTCCACTCCCCACGACCATCAGCGCAGCAGCAGCTCAGGATACAGCCTGGTCCTGAGATATGGAAACCTTGGGATCATCACGTCGCTGGTCTTGGATCCAATCAGTGACTCTGCATAATCTGAGGACCTCGGGATGAGTATCCCCAGGTGGAAATGGATAAAAAAAGAGAATGGAGCTTATGAAAATAATTCTGAGCAAGATGTTCATTATTATTGTAGATATTCTGACCAATGGTGAGAACAATTCAGAGCAATTCGTGTCATTCGCGCGTATCGCGCTGCAGGATGTTTATTCGCGCGTTTGCATTGACTTAACATGTAAATCATTCGCGCTTGACGCGCGTTCCACGTCTGGTGTGAACGCAGTATAATATAGCAGAAACCCCAGAAACCTCAGACCAAAGAAAGACTTGAACTCCGAGGTCTTCAGGGAGCAGGCGGAGACCCAGACAAAATGAGTGAATCGCCAGCTCAGACATTCCCATCCCTGATACCTTATTTTCTTTCTTTTCCATCAACTCTAGTTAAGTTTAGTGCGCCGCAAATCAGTAGCCATTACGGCTCGCCCTGTTGCCGCTCCAACAGCGCTCTTAAAACGACCGACTCTACCCCACTCCAAGCCTCGCGAGGACAAAAAAAACAACCAACCAGCCATGTGCTCAACAGAGGGAGCTTCTTCACATCACAAAGGGAACGCAAGTAACACTTCCATCTGAACTGGTGTGAACTAAATGCAACCCTAAAGAGACCATAGAAGGGTTAAATTGATTATTTTTGGTCCGCTTTGTTTGCTTTTACAAAATCCGAGGCTTTCCAACAGAACATTCACTCAACCTCTTACTTTACTTTCGTTACTCTCCCCTACACTTGTATGAATGTGTGTTTGTGTTAGGTGTTAGTTTCTGTTTGATTAGTCAATAAAGTTTAATTTTGTATAAAGAAAGGTGCCTGTGCATATTTATGAATCTGACGTCTTAAACTTTGATCTTGCTACCCCGCTCAAACATAAATGGGTTTTTAATTTAATAGCAATAGCCGTAATTAAAGTCAACTGTCTATTCGAACGATCGATGGACGATTTGTTTGTTCAAATTTAAAGAGTTGATTCTTTTGAAGCTTTGTTCAAATTAATCTTCTTCTTCCTTTTGAGCTGATTCGCTAAAGTATTAATGGTGTAGAAAGCACCGGCAGTTTACCTTTGAGCTAATTCACTGCAGATCCTCAACACAAGATGTAATTCGCCAGGAATGCCGTCGATACCCCTGACATTTCCCTGTATGTAAGTCCATTACTGCATTATGCAATTTGGACTGTGGGGGAAACCGGAGCACCCGGAGGAAACCCACGCGAATGCAGGGAGAACATGCAAACTCCACACAGAAACGCCAACTGAGCCGAGGTTCGAACCAGCGACCTTCTTGCTGTGAGGCAACAGCACTACCTACAGCGCCACTGCTTCGCCCTACTGTAAGTTAATTTGTATAAAAAAAACTAGCAAAATCACCCCACCGCTAACAAACCCACAGCTGACAAGGCCCGTCAGTACTAACATTACCAGCACAGACAGTATTGTCAGCCACATTTAAAGTATCTACTATTATTCAACAGCAGGGCTTTTCTAACATACAGAAACATTACCTGATGATGCAAAATATCTCTGTAACATGATGTAAAAGTGTAATAACACACCTGAGTGTATGAAGGGCTGAAATGGTGGACCTCTCCCTTTGAAATATTAAGCTTTACTCACTCGACGCTCATCGAGTCGTCGCCATCTTGCTGAAAAATCCAGCTTAAACCAGCCTAGGCTGGTTGGCTGGTTTTAGAGGGGTTTTGGCCATTTTCAGGCTGGTTTCCAGCCAATTCCAGTCTGGTCTTACCTGGTCAGGTTGGAAAATGACCAGCTAAAACCAACTTGACCAGCCTGGTTTAAGCTGGACATAGCTGGCTTGGCTAGGTTGGTCAAGCTGGTTTTAGCTGGTCATCTTCCAGCCTGACCAGTTAAGACCAGGCAGGAAATGGCTGGAAACCTAGGTTGGTTTAAGCTGTTTCATCAGTAGGGACAGTCCACCAATAAGAATGCAAGGATGGCGAAACTCATATGTGCCACCAGAGGGCGCTGTTAGCATTATTTGTTTTTAATGATTAAATTATTTAAACATGAACTGATGAGTCTTTGAAGAAAACTGTTTTTTCCCCACAAAATGATTTGTCAAATATATTATGTGTACATAAATAACAATAATACGCCCTAATAAAGGTTAAAATAAGCCAACAAAGCACCAACCACTGGCTTAAATCAATACCTTAAAGTTTCATGCTAATTTACAAACTTGCATGAAAAAACTAATCATTTGATACATAGGGGCGAGAGTGCTTCAGTATTGTTGATCTGGTGAGATTGATCATGCGGGGGAGTTGCAATACATTAATAGTTTTTTGTGGATTAGTCGCTTTTTTTGTAATAAATTCATGGGGTTGCAGTAGAGTAATCAAAATATATTGTAAACAAAATAGTAAATGTAAGAGGGACAAGATCCAGTTGATATTTAAATATATTCCCCAGTAGTACACATTTGTTTGTTTTGAGCGCTGCCCCTTTAAGAGTTCACGCATGCGCAAAAGCAGAAACTGCACGTCCCTTTTAGAGCGCGCAGTGTGAAGCGGGAGTTACACAGGGATAGATGTAGTGGATCCAGCAGTGAAGGAGAGGAAGATTCCCGTTTTCCATCAGTTTGTGAGTGTGTAGTGTAGTGAGTGTGTGATTGTGCTTCATTTGCTGCTCACACGATCGTTGTTCCTGCATGTGAGAAATCTCCGTGGAGAATTGAGAGCAAACTACTGGAGACTGAGCGTGAGTGAAGCTGACTAATGTTACAAGAGTTATAACATGTTTAACCCTCTGGGGTCGAAGACCGCGTATACGCGTTTTGACCTGTGGTGGTGTCAAACTGCTGAAATGAACTTAAATTACACTTTCAGTTTTGATCGTACAGATAAGATCCTTACATCAATTGAATCTGTTATGTGTGTACTTTTTGTTGTGTACACTCACAACAACAACAAACGTGTGTGATTTTGCAAAATAAGGAAAACAAACAGTGTAGGCATTCTGTCTTTTCTCTCTCCGTGATCTGCTTTTAGAAACGCGTCAGTAAAACGCACACAGGTGAGACATGCATTTCTAGAAAGCTTAAAGTGTCTACTTTTAAACGCAGCTATGCATGTTGAAAACAAACATAGCTTGATAAAGTAATCGGTATGAAACCAACGCTATGTCTAGTTTCTCAGTCTGATCTCGTTAGTTTTAATGCGACCACGCCCACTAGGCATTGTTATTAGAAGCGTCTGAGGCGCGAGCAGACTGTGGTCAGAAAAACACGTCACTAAAATGAAAGCAAACTCGGCAAATAGTCAACAAAGATTATGATTTCTGATATCTATATAAAGCTTGATATGTCTACTTTTGCATTAACCCATTCAAGTCGAAAACAAATGATCTCTTTTTATGTAATCCGTATAAAAGTAAGGACTGTTCGGATTCTCCTATATCGCCTCATTACAGCAGCGTGGTCCCGCCTCTCAGTTAGCGCGCTTCGTAAATCCAGATGTGAAAACAACGGAGGTAAACGACCAGGGGTCCGTTCTTCGTACCCTGCTTAAATGATCTAAGATTATTTGGCAGATCCTGGATCTTTTAATCTTGATAACTGATCTCTCGCTAATTTGGTTCTTCAAACAAGTTCGCGAATTAGATTAGAATGTCTGGATGAACTGATCTGAGATCGCTGCGTGTGTTGTGAAGGACAGATCTATCGATCCTCGAAATCATGATCAGCAATGCAATGATTGGCTGACGGCACAGCAGCGTAATGACATCATCTGATTAATATTCAATTATCCATGTTAGCAAAATTACATCAAATTAGCAGTAAACGGCTTGTTAAATATGACACGCAATAACCTTCCACATTTGTTGTGAGCTGCAGGCTTTACACTTTCATTTGTCAAGACAAGAGTATTCATCATGTATTTCATTGCAAATCAATGTATTTAGGTCTACATTTAGAAAATATTTTCTTTATAATCTTTATAATAGTATCCGTTTTTTCATCGGTGTAAAGAATAACTGGTTGTTTACAAAAGCAAGGTGTCTAAACTATTGTGAAGCATCAAATCACTGGCATATAAACTATCAAAACATGTTTATGACTGCATAAATGTATTATTGCTTTAAAAAAGTCACATATTGTGCATTTCTATTATACACAATTTGTACTAAAGCGATCTAAAAAGTTCATATCAATAAGTTTTCTCTTTGCACCACCAGGTGGCAGTCTTTGTACTTTCATTTCAGGGGTGCAGATTGCATAAGTTTTATTAATATGTATAACTTTATTTATTTTATTAATGACTTTAACTTTATATATATATTTATAGTTTAAAAATATGTACCATTTTCCCAAGTGTATATAACTACTACTGTAAGAAAATATCAGAATTCGGAACATACTTTCTGTATTATCTTTGCTTGAACTGAGCCGATCTAATCCTGTTTATATGAATTGAACCTGCTTCCGATCAGGTTTGACCTAGCAGAACTGTTGCCATGACAACAACTCTCGGATCAGCTTTGAAGAACGAAACGATCCTGGATCATGTCAAATCGTCAATATCCAAATCCAGCTAACTGAGTAATCCACGTACGAAGAACGGACCCCAGAAAGAGAGCAAAAGTAGACAAGAAGTGCTCCGAGTTTGGTCAGTAATGAGAGTAATGATTGTCTGTGTTATGCCGACAATCTGTTAGATGAGGATGTAGCCTTCAACTTCACAAAAATGTATAAAAACGCTACAAAAGTGGACCAGGATCAAATAATCCTGCGTCTGTGAGTCTCCGCTGATGTCAAGAAGGCCAGTTGTTACAGTGAAATACTGCCTTTTTCCTGCGCCCCTCCTCATCACAACAGATCCGTCTGCAAGACTACATTTCTAAAAGTCCTTTGTAAGTTTATTTTTCTGTGAACACCGAATGAGAGGATGATGACTTGCGCCAAAAGCTGCTGTGATGCGCGCGACTGTTTAAAAGATTTCATTATCGCACATGATGTTGTTTTTCACCTGCTTTCTTTTGCTCAGTTATTTTTGTTAATATGGATTAATCATCATTCTTTAAAATAACATTGCTCTAATATGAGATAACCAAAACTAACTCAGAATCGTATTATTATAATTCAAACTTTGTATATACTATTCCATATATTTATGATGTATTGTTTTTTAACTAATTTAAGATGTTTGACATCATTAAGATAATATGTTGCATTTTGGCATGTTTTTAACTTATTTATAAACTATTTATAGACGTAAAGTTAAATAAAAATATCCTGGGTTTGAGGAATATTGTGTTCCTGGACTTCACTGAGCTTAATAGTTTAATGTATGAAATTGTGAATGAGCTTGACTGATGATGTCTTAAATAATAATGTTAAAAAAAACAACATTTATCAAAATGAATAACTCTCATTTTGCAACTAAACTCTTCATTTACTAAAAAAATTAAATTAAATAAAAATCAGTAGATTTGCTATGTGTAAGTTTAAAAGTTTGCAGAGTTTTATAGAGTGCACTGACTCTCACAAAAGTTAAATCTCCAGTTATTTTGTGTGATTAATATATTTTAAATAAACTGCAAACAAAAAGTAAATAAACTTTCCTCTGATTCCTTCTTGAAACTCTTCCCTCCTATAGTCGCATACTGTACCTGTCTGATGGCTCATTATGCAGGTCTTTGTCTTCAGGTGTGACTCACTGCATAGTAATGATAGTTCACACCTTCCCTCATAAACCAATCTCACTTAAAAAGTGACTTGGAATTTTTAATTCATTGTATTGTTTTCTGTGAGCAAGTGAACAAGATGAGTCTCACATCATTTTGAAGCCAAAACACCAGTCCACAAGATCCAGTTCTCAAGAGTCTTGTGCACAAATGTTCTCTGTGTGTTTCACAGTCTTGTTTCAGTGACTTCAAAATTTTAGTTTTTCACTAACCACGCATAAACGTTTCTTTCTCAAAAACACAAACACATACAAACATGCTGCTTAGGTATTATTGTAGCCCAACTTGTGCTGTTTACAGTGTTATCACACTTTAGCCATTCATATGTTTTTAAGATACTGAAAACAACACAAATGTCAGTGCATGTCCAAACTTCTCCAGAGCCCCAAAACACCCTCACTCGCTGATGTAAACAGAAGCACTTACATTTAAAAACACAGAATAATATACGGTTTAAAAACGCGGTGATGTAAGCTGTTAAACTTTAATAAAAGCAATACATGCTGGACTGCAGAAATAAACCATCTTTTATACACTCTAGCCTGAACATGAGCACAAATAACATATTCTCTTATAACAGGGTTGTTGGTATTTGTTATCTTCATAGGGGTAGAAATAACACTTGTAAAATATGAACAATAACATATAAACAACGCGTACATTTTAGGAAAGGTTTTTATTTTTAATTAGCATCAACAGAACCCAAAATAGCCTACACACCATAACGATTTACCATCATGCGTTTAGAAGATAAATACAGCAAGATTACTAAATATCAACAGGATATTTACACATCCCAACCCTGCAATTTGTCAATTTGTGCAAAAAAACTTTGCAGTATTAATACAATGTCCATCTGCTGCAACATCGCTAGTATATTGTTTATTCATTTTCGCTTGAATTGTTTATTCGATGCCTTCATTATATCTGGCAACAAGGAATTTACATTCATTTTAATGTTTAGTTGGAGTTTTCAATTAAAACGCCAACAGTAAATGATGTAAATAAATAATATCTAACATTTACAGCTCTATTAGGCTATATAAGATTTGGTTTCAATAATGTTTTATAACAGCAAATTCAGTAGATTACTTAATAACATGCCAAAACTTAAAATGCAGAGACGTCCTGTAAAGCAAGTTCAAATAACCTTACAGGAGATCAACGTGGAGATTATTATTTAGACACATAAAGAGAATTACTGCTAACGATCTCCTGTATTTTCCCCGTACTTAAATTAGTTTATTTGTCATTTATTGTGCAGTTTTATTGTCATGTTTAGCCTATATTGAATTTCTTAATTCTTGTGCACTACAAAATTTATTCAATTTTATTATTATTAAATACTTGCGCAATCAGTACAGCTTTATTGTTATTTTTTTTGTCCTTTATTTGAATATATGCTGTTTACATCTTTATTCAAAGGTTAAACTCAGCGCTACACTTTGCGTTTACATAGTAGCCTGCGTTTGCTGTCATATCAACACAAATGGTTGTAATAACGTTAACAAAGGTGAGGGTTTTATAAAATGAAGATTCAATCGTGCCAGCTCCGGGCCGCAGCGCACATAACGTACTCGCGGCGTCGCGGGTCGATTTCGGCCGCCGCAACTGGCTCGATTGACTCGGGCTGGAATCGGGCAGTGAGTCCAGGCATCCGGAGTATGTCCAGCAGAGGTAGTCTCCGGCAGGCGAGAACTGTCCCGAGTGTATTTTGCTATCTGGGTGGTTAGGCGTGGATTAGCAAACTAAGGCCATGTCTACACTAATCCGGATAAATTTGAAAACGGAGTTTTCCTCTAAAAACGCTTCACGTCCACACTGTAGTTTCTATTCGTTTTCCAAAACTTTGTCATCCACACTGAAACGACTACCAATGCTTTCAACCTGTACTGCGCATGCGTGAAACGTAAGACGCTTCGTCACGCGTCATTTCCGGCTGACGTTTATTTTCTTTCCGGCTCTTTGAAACGTTGCGGCAAAATGCCAAGGAAAAGCACAGAGTTTTTTAAATGGACTGACAATGAAGTAGAGTTGCTGCTTCGAGTAACACATGGAATACAAAGTTGCAAAAGAGAGTGGAAATGTAGACTGGGAGACGTGCCAAAACAAATACGCCGATATACTGGACCGCTTTACAGAACAGTATCCTGCTGATGACGCTGCTTACCCTCACAGTAAGGACAACATCACTAAAATCATAATCACAACGAAAATAAAGTAAACGAATTAGTAACATGACTGAGTTTCACATGAAAAAAAAACGCGTCATCGTTTTCGAAAGACTCCGTTTTCACAGTCTACACTACGACACGAAAAAGGCTTTTTCAAATTTATCCACTTTGGAGAGCGTTTTCAAAAAGAAACGTTTTTGTTTCCTAAAAACTCGTCTCAGTGTGGATGGAAGGGCAAAACGGAGACAAAAATATGCGTTTTCAAATGAAAACGCATTAGGGTGGACATGGCCTAATAAAGCCCGAAAAAAGCCCTGACCTTAGCGAATAAACAGTGTTCCACCAGATCATGTATGTCAGAAACTGTAGTTTACTGCTGAACTCATTTTGGCATGGTAAAATAACACAGAAATCGAGTAATAACACTTCAGTCTCCTGCCGAAGCTCAGACGCCGCGCTTTGAGAAACTGTCAATCACAGCTGTCAATCACGATGACACGCCCAGCATTAAATTACTGCTAAAAACAAACTGTTTACACAAATGAAGATCTGCACCTATTTCAGCACAATAACCAGTGCCTTAATCCACCAGAACCATCTTTTGGGACATTTTATTGCAAGTGTAATACATTTTTTTATTTGGGCTCAAGTCTCCTTCATTAACACGGAGGAGGCGGGCTTTATGACTTGTACTGCAGCCAGCCCCCAGGGGGCGATCTAACGGCCGAGACCTTCACTCAAACGCAGGCTTGCGGCACACTTGTCCTGGACACATTCATTAGTCTCCAGAAGTGCTTTAAGTGCTCATGCTCATCTCTATAATGTTGATGTGGAATGTGCTCATCTCTTGTGTTGTCTATTGGTTTATTAGACATCAATAGGCCGCTGGCTTTGTTTTGCACACGCTACACTACATTAGTCTTGGCAGATCTGTTTCTCTGTTAGTGAAGCTCCTCCTCCTTCATTTCAGCTATAAATACTGGAATATTCCCATCAGTCTACAAGTGAGGACGAGCATCAGACCTTCAGACAGAAGTCAAATCTGAGTTTATTGAAGGACAGTGGGAAGATGAGTGATCCAGAACCCTGCAGAATTACAGATGAAGACACTGAAGAACAAACAGGTTTGTGTTTATTCCTGATTCAGAAAAAGCTTTGAACACTTCATCTGATGTATCGTCTGCACTATAGGCAAAAGAGTTCAAGAGTTTCAATAAAAGGAGAAGTGTAAATTCACTTTCTATTCTCAGGGGGAAACAGAGATGGACACTCAGCTGTCTTTTATTTTCATCTTTATTACACATTTATGATCATAAGGCCCAAGTAAATTTGATCTGAGCTCATTTATTTGACATCTATAAGTTTGTTTAAATGGGACATGTAAAAGTGCTGGATCTTCATTTATGCTGCAGACCTACAAAAGAAATGTCTACAAATGGAGTCTTTTCACTTCACATTTTGCTCTGATTGTTGATGACTGACGACCCCAAATCAGATCAAGTGGGACAGTATGGGGAACACAGATAAAGAGAGAAAGAAGCCACACACAGTCACATTCTCAGTGAAGTGAACTATCGACGGTGTAAATAAATATTCACTGATATATCTTTTAGCGATTTATTGTTGTAAAAAACAGTCAGAACAGAAAAATGAGCGCAGAGTTATTCAACCAGCCCCGTGCGCTGGCTTCCTCTTCTACATACCACAATGAATTTTCTTTTTAAGGTAACAGAGGGGGCGCTGTTAACCCCTTCCTTCCCATTAGTATTTCAATGTATGCAAGTGGAGAGATACAATATAACCCAGTTCCTATTGTCTGCAATGAAATAAAAGAAATTATTTGTGTTTTCCAGACTGTCCCAATGTTTTCTGATTTGGGGTTGCACTAAAAACTGAACCTTTTTACTTCGATTTTAGATCTTACTGAAGAGAGTGAGGAGAGTGAAGATGATGAACTCCTAAAAGCTGGGAAAACACCTAATTTACAGACTGAAGATGCTTTAATGCAAAGAGACAAGAATCGATTGACCTGCAGTCAGTGTGGGAAGAGTCTGGCAAGCAAGTATATTCTTAATGAACACATGATGATCCACACTGGAGAGAAACCATTCACATGCACTCAGTGCGGGAAGAGTTTCAGACACTCATCAAACCTCAATGAACACATGAAGGTCCACAAAGGAGAAAGAACCCACAGATGTGATCAATGCGGGAAAACATTTTTGAGGGCGCCAGGGCTGAAAGTCCATCTCAGAACTCATACAAAGGAGAAGCCTTATTCATGCTCTGAGTGTGGAAAGAGTTTTACACAGCTGTCACATTTAATGCAACATCAGAAGATCCACACTGGTGTTAAAGAGTATATGTGCTTTGAGTGTGGGAAGACTTTTATTACAGCTGCAGAACTGCAACGACACCAGAGGATCCACACTGGAGAGAAACCGTACAAGTGTTCACACTGTGATAAGAGATTCAGTCAGTTCACACATCTGAAAACACATGAGAGGATTCACACAGGAGAGAAACCGTACTCATGTGATCAGTGTCTGGAGAGATTCACACACTCGGCGCAGCTTAAGAAACACCTGAAAGTCCACACTGGAGAAAAGCAGCACACATGACATCAGGGTTTGAGTCATTTTTATGAATTGATTGTACCATAGACGGCCCCATTCCAGGCGATCACAGGCCTTTTTCTGCATCTATAAAGAGAAGGCCAGTAGGTGTTTTCAACTTCCCCGATTCAGACATGTAATACTCTGCCAACATTATCTGAGGCCAAACGACCTATTATAAGACCTGATTGGTGTGGATGAACTCATTTATGAATCACTGACGTCTTCATTAATCAGAGAAATAGCCCTATACTCAGAGCAGAGATCTTCCTCAGGTTTAGGTAAAACAGTAATTAAGGCAGTATTAAGATCCTTATGAATATGGCCTTTGGTGATTCGTTTATTGAATTGTAAGAGGCTAAATTATCATATGCATTTGTTTATATGACAAAACATGCAGGTCCATACTGACTACAAAGCCAGATACTGATAAGATCAGGGCCTGTTGTGTGGACTTTGGGGGTTTTATGGTGTGGTCACATGTTGATTGGTCAGTTTGAATGTCTTGAATGGCTTTAGTCACATGGTCAAGAAAGATACAAGATAGGTGGTAAACTCGAGCTCGGTCTTTTTTCCTGCCCTCTCTTTTCCTGGCCTGCTTCTCTCCTGCTCTGCTCCTCTCCTCCTCTGGAGTCTATCTTCTCTGACTCTACTGCCATCAGGCTTCTGGACCTGCTCTCTTTGTCTCTCACTCTCCTCCTGTGTCTCTCTCCTTCTACCTCTGCTAACTTTAATTTTACATTTAAGCTGGGTACAATTTATACCATATGTTTTATCATTTCATATTTGATCATTTTATACAGTATTTTGTAATTAATACAGTTGTAACAATCGAGAATTATTGACATTAAATCATCTAATTTTCAAGTATTTGTGAATTACTTTTGATTTAACATCAACACTTAATTGCTCCATATAGCAATACAATACAATCACATAATATCAACGCTCTCCCACATTTATAGCTATTAATACTGCCCTTATTTCTGTTTTTGGTATGAGATTGCAGAAGAATGGTTTGACTAGAAATGTACAGTTTTTTACCATCATGCTGATCACTTTTTAGTCACTCGGCAGAACTACAGTTCGAACCGCTGTGGTTTAAAGACCGTTCTTACAGAATTAACAAAACTCGGGATTCAAACTCGCAAAAATAGACCCAACATAAGACAATCTATTAGCTATCTAACTGAGCTACCAAAGACTGACTGTTGCTCAGTTGCTTTTGTAGTTTTATCGCAAGCAGCCAAATCATGTTCATACTTGTGCCATGATACAGATGAGACGAGATGCAGACATTTGTTTATCTGGCCTGATCTTGTAATTCTGTTTAAAATGAAATGGGGAGAAGACTGTGATTTATAACGGCTATCTAGCAGAACATTGTTGTCATTTAGAGCGATTCTGAGAAAATATCAGCTCGTGTGACTTTGTAGACGCAAGATAACACGACTCAATGGGACTCTTGATTGCATAATATTGTATATTAAATATTGTTTGTGCCATCAATCTGTCTCTTCTTGTCTTGTTTCTCTCTTTAAATTAGCAGGATTTGAACGCGGGTAGCATAAGACCGTCCAGTGATGTCATTTCCAAAATGTTCAATAACAGCTCAACTGAACTATATTACACGGTCAAAAAACTGTCTCGCTTCCATCTTCATGACACAACTTCATCCTTCCCTGAAGTGACATCAGCATATACTCAATAATAAAAAATTTAATTACTTTTATTAAAATATTTTCAAGTTTTGCCTTTCACAATATTATTAATTTAACATGAATAAAACAATGAACTTATGGCTCTTACACATTTAGTCATTTTAGTCATACAAATGAGGACAAGGAAGCAGTTTACACAACTATAAGAGCAACAATGAAAAAGTGCTGTAGGCAAGTTTCAGGTGTGTAAAGTGTAAGAAGCAAAGCATTAGTAGTGTAAGATTTTTTTTTTTTAGTATAGTTAGTGGAGGAGTCAGAGAGGGAATTGCAGATTAGGAAGTGTAGTGGAGACTAAATAGTTGAGTTTTTAGTCATTTCTTGAAGACAGCGAGTGACTCTGCCGTTCTGATGCAGTTAGGGAGTTCATTCCACCAACTGGGCAGATTGAATGCGAGAGTTCGGGAAAGTGATTTCTTCTCTCTTTGGGATGGAACCACGAGGCGACGTTCATTCACAGAACGCAAGTTTCTGGAGGGCACATACATCTGCAGAAGTGAGAGCAGATAAGAAGGAGCAAAGCCAGAAGTCACTTTGTAGGCAAACATCAGAGCTTTGAATTTAATGCGAGCAGCAACTGGCAGCCAGTGCAAACGGATGAGCAGCGGAGTGACGTGCTCTTTTAGCTTCATTAAAGACCACTCGTGCTGCTGCGTTCTGGAGCAGCTGAAGAGGTTTGACATTACTAATTCTTTCCTTAGACTTTACAAACCTGAAACTCGCCTACAGCACTTCTTCATTGTTGCTCTTATAGTTGTGTAAATTGCTTCCTTGTCCTCATTTGTAAGTCGCTTTGGATAAAAGCGTCTGCTAAATGTAAATGTAAATGATAGGGTTAGCTGGAAGCCCGGCTAGTAGAGAGTTGCAGTAATCCAGACTGGAGAGAACAAGAGCTTGAACAAGGAGTTGAGCTTATAAATATATATTAGATATATTAGACATAATATGTTGCGCAGGCGACGCAGTGGCGCAGTAGGTAGTGCTGTCGCCTCACAGCAAGAAGGTCTAACCTAACCTCAGCTGGCTCAGTTGGCGTTTCTGTGTGGAGTTTGCATGTTCTCCCTGCAATTGCATGGGTTTCCTCCAGGTGCTCCGATTTTCCCCACAGTCCAAACACATGTGGTGCAGGTGAATTGGGTAGGCTGGATTGTCCATAGTGTATGAGTGTGTGTGTGGATGTTTCCCAGAGATGGGTTGCGGCTGGAAGGGCATCCGCTGCGTTAAAGCGTGCTGGATAAGTTGGTGGTTCATTCCGCTGTGGCGACCCTGGATTGACAGAGGGACTAAGCCGAAAAGAAAATGAATGATAATATGTTGCATAATAATATCATCATTGTATTAATTTTTTTGTAAAATCTGTATGTACGTTACACGTGTGAGCATGGGTCACGAGTTACACGACTCCTTAGACACAGGTACACATGAGTCTACAACTATGAACAAACATGGTTTGAGCAACTGATGAAGCATTAGTTACTCAACTCTTCTATCAGCGGGAGAGTTTGTAGAAGCACATTAACGCGAGTACATGTAACTAAACAACATGTAAACATGTTAACATCGATGGAAACATGTCAACACGGGTCCACAAGCACAGCATACTGTGACTGATAAAGATATTAAAACAGACCATTTCATGTGTAGTTCTGAGTAGCTCAGTTAGATGAGTTGATTGATGCGTGTGCTGAGCGTTTCGACTACACGAGTTCAAATCTCAATATATTTAGATTAGTTTTGGTGATATACTGTTCTGCTACACAGATATTAAAGTCAATAATGCTCACAATGACACTGACACCAAGTAATAAGAGTCTTTATTTGGTATGGACATGTTTTGTTGCTGTGAAAAAGTGACGAATCTGCCAATCTGCACACGTGAATAGCTTACATCTGGAAAGAGACACCAGTTAACACGGTCACCAGTTAAACCGTAACACCGGCTCGATCTGGCCAATGGCAGCAGGAGACTCTGAGGTGCGAAAGGGTCAAACACAAACACCTGCAGTGCGGATTATATTTACTGCTAAAATGCTTACAGTAAGATTATGTATTAAATACATTCTCAAATACGAAAACGAAGGAGGGTTTTGCTATAATTCTAGGTAGTTTCAGTTGGTTTTGTATGTACACGCTACAGTTTCAGTTCTAGTTGTTGAAAAAACTCTCGTTTTTGTTTTTATTTCAGTTAGCGACAATTATTTTACATTTTAGTTTTCGTTCGTTTTCGCTAACTATAATAACCTTGCTATCATCATAATTTAATTATAACTGCAGATCAATGACAGTGTCAAATAGCCTACTGTAACATATGAACACACACACCCTTACAGTCTCTGATATGACACCACTTACAGTAAAACTACACACAGCAGACATTTAGTGCTTATTTGGATTCAAAAACAACACACAATATAGCGCACAGTCAGAGCAGAGCTCTCATCTGTGTGTGTAATCTTCAGCAGCACATGCAGCCATTCTGAGTTCATAATAGTCCAGAAGATGATGATAATAGTTGCCGCTTAGCTTTTTGTGCTTCACTCTCACGTTTGTCCATTTCTGAAAGGATCGAATATCAGAGCACTTCAATAATCACGCACACTTGTATTATCATCAGCTCAAGAAGTGCGTTATTTCAAATATAGACGCGCAGCGAGCAACTGCAGCTCTCTGGAGAACGTCAAACAGCTCGGCCTCGCAAAACAACAGCAGGACACATATATATAGACGCGCATATATATATAGAGACATATATATATATAGACACATATATATAGACACACATACATATAGACGCGCAGCGAGCAACTGCAGCTCTCTGGAGAACGTCAAACAGCTCGGCCTCGCAAAACAACAGCAGGACACATATATATAGACGCGCATATATATATAGAGACATATATATATATAGACACATATATATAGACACACATACATATAGACGCGCAGCGAGCAACTGCAGCTCTCTGGAGAACGTCAAACAGCTCGGCCTCGCAAAACAACAGCAGGACACATATATATAGACGCGCATATATATATAGACACATATATATATATAGACACATATATATAGACACACATACATATAGACGCGCAGCGAGCAACTGCAGCTCTCTGGAGAACGTCAAACAGCTCGGCCTCGCAAAACAACAGCAGGACACAGGAGATTTCGTTCTTGGCTTTGTGGCTGTACATCAAGACGACAACAAGGTTTGTTTGAGCTCGAGTTGACCATGGCTGGTTATTATGTGTATATATTTATATGGTGTAATGTCTGGGCTGTGTTATTAAAAATGGCGGGTCCTTTGTTTTTATTCTCCTGCTTCTGCAAGTATCTCTGTGAACCAATAGCGTTCAGCTGCGCATCTTGCTCTGCCTTTTGGTATCATTTATTCCTGCTAGGCACCGTTTGTAAAGGGTGACCAAAAAGTGGTACGATTAATAAAGGCAGGACGACATTATTTGTCTTTCCCATGGTGCATGTAACGGAGGCCAGCTAGTAAGTGCTGTGCAGGTAAACCTCACTCCTCTGACCTCTAAAGACGCTCTAGCGACAGACGCTAGAGGTTATGGTCTTTAGCCTTCTTGGTAGAGCAACCGACTCCCATTCGGAAGATTGCCAGTTCGATCCCAGC